AATCTCGTGCACCATAAAAGCCGGCGGTGGTGGGGCTACCTACGTCAGCACTTCATAGTTTGGCCAGTCAAATGCTGTTTACTCATACTCAAGCGACATTATTGATTATTTACTTCTTCACTGTTATCCCAAATTCTCCTTTCTTAGAAGTACCTTCATATCAAACCTATGTATTGCTCCATTTCGTACTCAGAACACTATCTCGACATTCTTCGACTCAGTTTTGCCTTTTATCATGGGCCTGCTCGAAGACAAATACCATTTTGTTGTGGCTAATTTCAACTATGCTATTGCTTTTAATCTAATCGACTTGGATATTCCACCGAAGCAGATATAATTCCTTTTTAGATACTATTATAACAAATGATCCCGAATTCTTCTCCCTCCGACCGTTTCTGTATTTCCTGGGAGATCAACAACTTCCATACGCTTCGAATGAGAATGATCTCGGCGTCATTGTTCAAGACGACCTAAGCTGTTCTTTAAACTGCTCCCGGGCATTGTCTACCGCTGTAAGACATGTTGATTCGCTGAAACGAGTATGTGGCAAATTTGAACCAATGCTGTTCCCACGATTGTTATCAGCCTACATTCGACCCCAAATAGAGTACGCCATTCAAGCATGGAATTCATGGCTGCAACGCGATCAGAAGATTCTGGAACGTCCACAAAGAATGGCCATCAAAATGGTCAAGGACTGCATTCCAAGAGTTATGCGGAAAGACTGGAATCACCGCAACTGTACTCCACATAGTATCACCGTATTCGAGGGGACTTGACCTTGGTGTATAAAATAATGCAGAACTCAGATCATCCGTGTCGTTCATTCTTTGCCTTGTCCCTCAACAGTCACCTCAAGGAGGCACTCATTCAAATTAGTTTTCCAAAAATGCCGACCAAAGAGGCCGGCGTCAGTGGTTTGCTCTCAGAAGGTACAATACTTGAAATTCTCTAGCACTACACGCTGTTTTTGCGCCCACAATTGATTCATACAAGCACAAACTGGATGAAACTTTGACATGATTTAAATTTCAACATCCGTAGCAGTGCGTGGATAAATTGAGATATTCGTCTACTTTTTATAAACCGTGAATCGGTTCATCTGTGCGAAACCCTATGGGGCTAGAAAAGTAACCGCTTGTAAGTATTTCCCATTAATAAAACTTTGAGTTTGACTGTGACTTTGACATGCACCCATCTCAATCAGTGAACATTGTCTACTCTTTCTATGATTTATCCCAGTCTGTTCATCATTCGTTCAGACAAAATAACCAAATGGAAATCCTCAACTCATCAATGGTCAGATTTATTTGCAAATTGATAAAAACGGAAATTGAGCGTGCGGACTCGTACCACGCGAATCAACCTAAATGCAGTCATGGCATGAGACATCTATGGGAAGGTATGCGGATCGCACGTGGAGCAAGAACCAGACCAGATAAGTGTGTTGTGGATGTTGAAGGTATAAATCGCGCATGTGTACATCCGGGCAGCGCTCCTTCTGTCTCATGCTTTCCGGAGGACGCTGTTTATACAACTCCGTTATCGAGAGAAGAAATATTTAAACTTCTCACTACAACTAAGTCGTTTACTAGTATCGTTGGCGACGGTCTATATTCATCCATTTTAAAGTATAATGCCCTTGTTCTAACGCATGCTTTTATTTTTATCCTCAACACATGTTTTACCACGTATTCTACTCCTGATTACTAGAGCCTTGCCACGATCAGTCCTATTCCAAAATGTATAGATACAGCACCTTATTTAAAGGTTTTCTTCCCATTGCTCTAACATCAAGCGGGCTAAGATTTGCAGAACATATCATCCTCAGACACCTGTCTTCTTCTTTCAGTACTCCCAAAAACCCTCTCCAGTTTGCGTATAAATCAAACAGGACGCTTTCGTGCCCTTCGTTCATTACACTATCAAATCCTTAGACGCATCAGTGAAATCTGTTTTCTCAGATTTTTCATCGGCGTTTGACACTGTTCCACGTTCCCTCTCCTTCGTAAAATGGAACAATTTGTCTGCCTCAAGCACCCACTAGCGTGGCTCGTTGACTACATCACAAACAGAACTAAGCATACATGGTTAGGTACGAAAACATCTAGACCGCCCGTGAACCATTCGTTAGGGCTGCAAGGAGCCATACTATCTCCGTTCTTGTTTTCCATCGACATCAGTGACCTACCAGTGAATTCTCCAGACCAATTATTTAAATACGCTCTAAACCCAGTATTTTGCCAAGTCATTTCTGTGCCTGAGGAATGTGTGAATTTATCGAACAATCTGTGGCATGTTCACGAATTTTCCGTTCGTTCTAGACTGTCCCTTAATTTATCCAAGTGCTTCGAATGCACTTTCTCTTTCTCTTCATCCATTTATCCCGCTGACTCCTAGGGCTTAAATAAAGAATCCGTAACGATCGATTCCGCGAAGTATTAAGGAATTACAATTGACACAAACGTAAACTGGACATTTCACATTTACAACTCTGTACGGATAGTTCGTGGGATATCTTTTCACAATCGAAATCTGAAGCAGTTCAACATCAAACAAAAAATCATTTCGCTTTTTGTTTATGTGTTTTCTCATTCTTCCTTATTGTTTCCCCGGTGGCTTTTGCTGGTCCTTAACGGTTCTCCGCTCTTTATATTAGTGCATGAACACATCAAACATGAATGACTGTTCTCTGATTGTCTCGCAGGTCACTGAGACGGATTCAAAACAGCGTACCTTATCTCCTACTTGTACAGGTGTTTAGGTTTTAGGAATCAGATATGCGGATGGAGTGATCATTGCCGCGGATAATCTGGTTTCTTATGGGTCACTTGTTCGGTACCTCGATTTCGAACGCGTCTCTGTGATCGCTGATAGTACGATGATGGCTTGCTCAAGTGACATCGCTGATTATCAGCTACTGAAACGACGAATAGAGGAACAAACACATACAGATGGTTTGTTATCTGATGGTTTCACCCTGAGCCCCCGAGCCTTGCATTCCTGGATTACACGAGTCCTTTATAATCACAGATGCCGTATGAATCCTTTATGAAACACCTACATCGTCGGTGGACGTGAATCAAATGGGAAGTCGTTTTTGGACTACTGTGATCTGATTGGCTTATCATTCACTGATGTTTGTCTGGCATCCGGGTTCGGGACGTACCTTGCCTTACCACTACTGCACTGTCAGCGACTAGAAGATCAGGCCGGTGGCGATCCCGAAAAATTTACTCAAGAAAATACTATGCAAGCTATTGTGGATGGCATGCGTCAGCTTTAATATCGTGATTGTCGAGCCTTCAAAATATACCAACTGGCGATTGTCACACCGAAAGGAGCCGAGATTCGAGGTCCGTTACAGTTTGAAATCAACTGGGAAATCGCAGAATATGTAGCTGGATACGAATAGTTTGATCGACCTTGAGGTAATTGTACTAAAACTTGTCTTGTGCTGCTGCTTTCTGTTATACGATCAATATCCTGTTCGAACTTAAAAAAAGAAAAAGAAATAAAAGGCCACTTCACAAGCACTGATGATGTCACCTCGGCTGGTGATGAAACCTTTGGAAACAAATTGCTAAGCTCGACGAACAGGCGAAATGGAATTCAATTTACTCGAGCTACGAGAACCGATTTTCAATATTTCGTGAACTCAAGAATGACTTCGAAATTCTTCGTCTAGGTTTGCCATCCATCAGTCGTATGTCTTTTATAAACATTGATGATCTATCTAAAAACGGTGTGATCTACACTTGTCCGCATGTGAAACATTTGCACAGAATATCCTGTCCGACCCCAACCATCGATTACTTGGCTTCTGCGTAAATGGTGCCCTCTGCAATATTGTTCTCACATTAACCGACACAGAAATTTACCCCAGTTCCTTAACTGGCTATTGTCCGTGTAAACCGACAGCGCGTTTCTTCTGAATTTCTCAACAAACCTTGTTAAGGTAAAATATTTTACTCTGATTATTTCCTGCTTTTGATAAAATGTGTTATTTTTGACTGAAATGCGGATATCTTTTCACGCAAAAGTCTTTAAAAAAATACAGATACCCACAGAAACATGAGGAATCGGAAAAGGAGTTTGAGGTTCTTGTTAAAAAGGCCGACGAAGATCACAGGGAGCTCACAAACCCAGTGGGATAAAATGTAAACAAAGGCAAAATGCTTCATGAGATGATTTGAGGTCGAAAGTGATTTTAAATGTAAAACGTAAAACGTTCACCTTCTGACCCTTTGGAAAGACGTCATTGATGTGGTCACGGCTGAAAATACCACCGAGGTATCTGACAGACGTTTATAGCAAAATGACATAACTAAGCCTCTATATAGATGCTTAGTGATGTCGTCAATGTTGATTCATGCTGCTTTGTATACGGATTTCCACACTAATCCGAGGCTTTCTCTGACACGCAAACGTTCCATACCTTTTTCAGATGTCATGTTGCTATGTGCATAGTATCTTGCACAGTACAGAGTGAAAATGTTCGATGGGATCCCAGTTTACCCAGTTTACCCAGTTTATCCATGTGCATCCTACCTGCTTA